GATGTCAAACTTGATGAAATGATTGGGTTCTTGTCAGATGGGCAAGGAGTTTGGAAGAACAAGAACGGACACCGGGTAAGTTTTTCTTTTTCAAAGCTTAATGTTAATTCTCGGGCTTGACATTATTTTATTTCTACTAGACTTCTTCCAACTAATCATTTTAATGAGGAAACCCAAGAGAGAGCTACATTAAACTATTGTATTCAAATGAAGAACCTATAGATATTGGCTCTCTCATTTACAAGAATATGATCATTTCCTCTAAAGGAGGAACAACCTGAGGTATTGTTGACCTCACTTTTGGTTGAGGTTTAGTTTCTTCTTTAGAAGCTTAGGATCTAGTCATATGACTTTTCTGTTGACTATTCCTACTATATTTTAGTGAAAATAATTTGTAAATCAGATGCTAGATGGCTTTATAAAATCTACTTGTAACGACTATAAAATTATCTTATTTGTATTTACAGAATTGTATCATTATTTTACATTTAGATGTTTGTAATGTTTTTTGAATACTGAGATAAATGAGAAATAAATATAAATAAATTATGTTCGAGTATCTTTTTTAATTTTTTAATAGATATAATCAAAATAATAAAACATTTGAAAGAACTATGGTGGAATTTTGTATTGTATTGTATGTATGAATATTACATGATGTCTCTACCTTATTTTTTTACAATGATTAACAAATTCCAATGCTAGCATTTATAACTGTTCACAATAGATAATTTTTTTTTTGGTTTCTTGGCTAGGAATGAACCTACATTTATTTTAATGAGAGGTAATTTACTTTCTTGTCTTTTGTAGTTTTCCTTCCTATTGTTTCTTTGGCTGTGGTTCGAACAAAAGTATTCATATACTAATAATTTCTAGTGTTACTTGGATTGTTAGTTATTAATACAATCAAGCTATTTCTACGCTCTATGGGTTTGTTTGAGGCGACTTATATGTTTTATTTCTTACTTTTATTTTTTGCTTTTATTTTAAAGATATATTGTTCAGTCCATTTTTTGCATGTTTTTATATTTTCATTTAAATGAATAATTAATTTTTTAAGGCATTTAGAACATTTAAAAATTATTGAGTAATTTTAAAATAACTAAACATAGTATTCCACATAAAGCATGTTTTAATTCAAGTAAAAGTATACAACAACAACAACAAGAAGCCTTTATCCCACTAAGTGGTGTCGGCTACATGAATTCTTTTCCTCCAATGCGCTCTATTGAGTGTTATTTTCATTTACTTATAATAAATTAAGATCATTTTTTATACAATATGCCAAAGTCTTTTTAGGTCTACCTTTATCGTTCTTAACATTAGTCGAATCTAAAACGTCTACTCTCCTAAGAGGATTATCAGATGGTCGACGTTTAATGTGACCAAACCATCTCAGCCGACTCTCCCTAATTTTGTTTGCCACAGGTGCTACTCCAATCTTATCATGGATATATTTATTTCACCTTTCGTCTCTAAGTGTAAAACCACTCTTCCACCTAATCATTCTCATCTCGGAAAAACTTAACTTAGTTTTATGCTTCTCTTTTAAAGGTCAACATTCTGCGACATAGAGCATTGCATGTCTCACCACTATCTTATAAAACTTTCCTTTCAGTTTAAGCGGTACTTTTCTATCTCATAAAAGGCATGAAACATTCCTCCAATTCAACGAACCAACTTGAAGTCTACAAATAACATCCCCATCTATATCACCATCACTTTGAACAATAGACCCAAGATATCTAAAGCATTCACACATTTTAATAATTTGATCACCCATAGTTACAACTCTATTACTAGAGTTGCTACTAATAAAATTACATTCCATGTATTCAGTTTTAGTTCTACTCAAACATTGGCCTTTAGACTCTAATGTAGACCTCCATAATTCAAGATTTTTCTAAGTTTTTTCTCTTATTTTATCCACATGAAGGTTATATTCATCGAAAAGCATGCACCAAGGTACATCCTTCTGTAAATGTCCAGTAAGAGCATACATAACTAAAGCAAAAGGATATGGGCAGAAATCTGATCCCTGATGTACTCCAAATGAAATAGGAAAATAATTGCTCAATCCTCCTTCAGTTCGAACATAGGTAACAACTCTAGTATACATATTCTTAATGACTTGAATAAGTCATATCAATACATTTCTTCTCTAGAACTCTCCAAAGGTATCTCCTAGAACCATATCGTAAGCTTTTTCTAAATCAATTAAAATCATATGTAGATCCTCTTTATTATCTCTGTACTTCTCTACCAAACCTCTAAATAAATATATAGCTTCCATAGTAGACCTGCCCATCATAAATCCAAACTGATTATGAGAAATCATAGTAATATGTCTTAGCCTATGTTCAATTACCCTCTCCCATAACTTTAAAGTATGGCACATCAACTTGATTCCTATATAATTTCACACTCTTGTTCACCCACTTTATTCTTAAAATTGGGACTAAAATACCCTTCCTCCACTCCTCACATTTTTTTATTTTTCTAAAATAATATTAAAGAGTTTAGTAATTCAAGAAACTCCCAAATCTTCTAACTATTTCCATGCTTCAATTGGGATATCATAAGGTCCTACAAACTTAACACCCTTGGTTTTACTTAAAACCTCCTCAGCTTCTTTTTTTAGTAATGCGACGGTAAAATAAGATATTTTGTTATTATTAACAATATTAAGATCACTAGGGCCGATCGTATTTTAAAATTGACACCTCTTATTAGTTTTTAAAACAATAATTCCAAGTAAAATTATGAAAAAAAAGAAAATAAAATTAGAAAATCAAAATCAAAATAAAATTCCAAAGTGGTCCCAAAAGACCTCTAAACAACTATCAAATTTTGTTGCTAATTTTTTTTTGACTTGGAAAGAATTTCATTTTAAACTCTCGCGTGTAATGCATATGTGATATTTTGAACACAAAACCTTTTAGTTGAAGCCTAAGCTTCCAATTAATTTGCTGAAATGTGTGAATATATCTGCTTGCTCTAGCTTATGGACTCTAACTTCTTCTTGGTGAATGAAATGATTGAAAGTTATGGTTGAGTCATTTTATTTATTTTTGAATTGCTACTTCAGTTTTTTATTAGTTGTATCATTTGTCATTTTATTTCTAAGATTGGTGTGTCTTTTTCTAATTTTTTTTTCATTCTGTTTAGCACCAAGATCTTTTTATTTATTTATGAAAAGAATTACATGCAATTGAAATTTAGTGTAATTAAAATCTCTTTGATTTGTTTGATTACATGTAACAAAAATATAAGAGATTATTTTTTTGTGTTTGATTTGAGATAAAAATAAATCTAATCTAAATCCCAAATTACAGGTCAGTTGATGGCTGCTCGATAGTAATATATAATTGTTGGGCATGTAATATTGAGCAAGAGGTGGTTGGTGATCTGTAGATGGGCAGCTGACATGAGTAAATAATGTTGAATTTGAAATTTATTAAAATTATACATTGCTTTTCATTTTTTTTTTTCAAATCATAAAAGTTTAAATCCTTATATTTAGAATTTGTACACTCTCATATCAGTCATATGTACCCATTCAATTTTTCTTGGGAGATGCTAAAGACAATTGATGTCAACACATTCTCTCACTAAAAAACTAAAGGGTTATTTAGTTGCGAAAATTTGTGATGTATTGTAATTTTTTGTACAAAATTTCAAAAATTAAATGCTTGATAAAAAAAATTACAAAACAATGTAAAATATGAATGAATTTAAAGTTTACACTTGTACATTAGAAATGTGTCAACACAAATATAAAGGAAATCCAACGAATAAAGAAACATGAAAGTACGACCAGGGATATTCCAAAAAAGGAAAGCCATTACTCCTATCACTAGAAGATCAAAATATTTAAATTGACCCAGTGTAGATCCCTTCGATAAGGATTAGAAGTCGATCGAATGCAGGTTGTCTGAGCCAATGACCAAGATCTATCGAGCCGAGAAAAGGCCTCAGCCTAACTCTCATCCCAGTATTGCCACTTGTCTTGTAAGAGCTGTCGAGTCTCTTCATCAGGAGACTGAAAGTTTTACCATGATATACTCTAAGAATGCCTCGAAGGACATTTAGTCAAGGGTGGAGCTACTTATCAAATTACTGTGATTCACCCTCTGCCCGACAATCTGTTTCATCATTGTGATAGAAGCTCCTCATCTAAGAGTCAATAGCTTATAGCAGGAGAAAATCAACCAACTGGTAGACTCAAGCCAACCAAGCCAAGTTCAGGTGACCGAAGATTAACACCAACTAATCAATAACCATAATATACTTAATGAGCTCAGATGAACGAGTCCTACTAAACTAAGGCTCGTTAATCTCAGCTGTTATGTAAATGCTCTGTAAAACCCCGATTAAAGCAGGTGTAATTATGTAATGATACATATTGTAGCCCATTCGCCTATAAATAGCATACCACTCCAATACTATTCAATATTTTACTTCCTCTCTCTCTCTCTTTTTCCCTCTCTCTCTCCCCCTCCCTCCCTCCCTCTCTCCGTGCAACTCCCGTACAAATTCAGATTCAACAACAAGATTGTACACCATTCATTAATGTAAAATATTATCAATAGACTGCCGCCTGCCATTTGTTGTTGCCTGTCGGTCGATGGAACCAAGCACTACTGCCGCCCGCAGGCCGTTGTACTAGCTCATTAGTGTCAATTGTCTATCGTCACATTCAAATGTCTTTCATCACCCACTAGTAATATCTTATATATTTTGAAATATATTATTTTCAATCTACTTCAAACTAAAAAAAAGTATATAATATCATGTTTATTTAACATTAAACTAAACAACTATAAAGTATTGAAAATACATTATATTTTTTTATATTACACTCATTTTAGCCCCACATTATTTTTTAGCAAACCAAAGATCCCAAAGATTTGTATTTTTATTATTATTTTTATCAGCAATATTTGCTAGTCCTTCAACATTTATCATAAATTAAATATTTATAATTTTGCGTCAGCTTTTAAATTATGATCCAATACCTGCTTTAGAGGCTTATCAAAAAAAACCAGAAAAAAACATCAATTTTGTGCCCACCAACATCAACCAAGCCATGCTGATATTATCTGCTAATTCCACTCTGAAGGAGAAAAAGATTGGATCGATCAGCAGACTAAAAATCATCATTTGCTCCACGCAGCTTTCTGTTCCTTAGAACTCCATCGACATAGAGGAGGAATCACCATTTGTCTTCATAAATACTCCATCAAAATCACGCCTTTTTGCACTCAACAGAACTTCATGGAAGTATTCGATTTAAAAGAAACAGAGCCAGCACATAGAAAAATACCTTCAATCAAAAATCAAACATCACAAAAATAGCTTTCAGATCCTCACGAAGAAAATACTGAGCTCCGGCCCGCTGTTGCCGTCGGGATTAAGCATGTAAAAGGTCTCCGAATCTCTGCTGCCGACAACGCGGTCAAAATAGGCTCGCATGTAAGTAAGCTCGCCGTCATTCGGATCCGAGACGATCAGCGGAAGAACACCGGCGCCCATGGAGACGGCGTGCAGGAGCTGCAAAACTTGAAGATCGGATTCGTTGGGTTCCCGGCGCTGAGCGTAGCCGATCCTCCGCCCGTTGACGAATGCACACCAGAGCTGCTCTTCTAAAAGACGGATTCGCTCGCCGGGTTTTTTTTCGCATTCGAGCGCGACTCGCAGCAGCCCGGTGCCCATATCCTGCATGAAGCGCGCGGTGGGGACGGCGAGCTCGAGGACCAGAAAGGGAATGCTGCGGGAGTTGTCTTGGATGGCGATGGAGATGCGGGACTTGCGGTGGCCGAACAGAGTACCGGTCGTGCGGGCGGCTCCGTGGATGTGGCCGTCGGTGTGGGCGCCGGCGGTTGCGCGGGGGACGGAGCCGTGGAAGCGGCAGGCGGGGTTTATGATGGGCAGGGAGCGGAAGGCGGAGCGGAAGGCGCGGAAGAGTTTGGAGGGCTTGGAGTCGCGCCGGCGGCGGGAGGCGGGTTGGAGGATTGGGGCATCGGTCGGGGTTGGAGAAAGGGGCGGGGGAGGCAAATGCGGCGGTTTTGTCATGGGGAAGAGGGGCGGCGGAAGAGGTTAGTGGTGGTGGAATGAATGTATGTGAAGATTTGGGTGGAATTTAGTGGTTGTGTGCACGTTGTTTTTGGTGCAGGGATGGACAGAGAGGAAGAAGAAGATGAGAGAAACTGCTGGCGAATGGGAGGTTGGATGGTGGGGAGGAGGACATGGAAGGGATGGTCGGGCGTTGTTTGAGGAGTTTTTAAGGGGGAATTTGGAACCAGACAGGTCTTGGAACGAAAATTTATGTAGCAAAATTAAAATTGAAATTAATGGTATGATGAATTACATGCCTATGAGTTGATTTTATATATTTTGGATTTACATGTGTGCATTTAAATTTTAAATTTTTATATATAAGCCATTGTATTTATACATGAGATTATATATTTAAATTTTTTTCAATTTATAATTGTGAGCTATTAGTGTGATATGAAGGATTTGACTTGTATAAATGTAAAAAAAAAATGAGATTTTGATGTTAGGTGTACAAATATATAACAATTGGGTGGTATGAAGGCACTTTTTGTTTAATTAAGAAATTCTTCTTAATTAAATGAAAGAAATTAATAGGACTATAAAGAACATAGAAGTTATCATCTACGAAAATAGAAAAAAAATTATTACATTAATGTTATTAAATATTTATTTATATATATATATGACATCTAAATTCATATGGAAAAATTAATACATAAATTATTTTAAAAATATAATTAGTATTAATCTATTTTAAGTGAAAGTACTTATTTTCATATGTATTTTCTTATGTTAGTTCAATAATGAAATATTATATAATTAAATATAAATTTAGATATTGAATATATAAATACATAAGAATTAATGATATATATGTAAATTCAAAACTAAAAAATCAGTTATTAAAAACAACTTAATTTAGTCATGCAATCAAATATTTAGGATTATGAATCATGACACGTAATAAAATTATCATGATCTCAATTTCTTTCAAGGTGCCTAATGCGAATTCTTTCTATAAATTTGCTAAAAAAATGAGCATGGTTGTTAATTAAATAATTATTTTAGTTAGAATTTAAGAGGCAAACAGACTCTCATAATTAGAATGTTGGTTTTCGAACGTTAAAGCTGGATTGACATGAAATTTATTTTATTTTAAAAATCATTCTAATGGCAGTTGAACCCTTGTTTGGGGTTATCTAATCAAGAAGTGTAGGCTGCATAAAAGAAACCAATTTGGCCAAGCGTTATTTTTTTGACCAATTATTCTATAGTTCATGTTTGAATTCGTTCCTAATTGTTACCTAGCTAACATCCTCGGATGTTATTTTTAGAAAGCCTTGTTGCAGGCTTTTGAATCTTATTTTGTCCATAAATCACAACCAATGAATAGAGTGTGAGGAGGGAGGGAGATAGGGTTGTGAAAGTGTTGAATCCAAATCTATCTGGGAGTCACGTGCAAGGATAGAGATTACAACAGGAGGGAGATGGAGTGCACAACGACTTCCCCCTCTAGGGCAAATTGGAGTATTCTTGGGCTCTTGTGACTCTTTTATATAATCAAATATTTTTAATACATAAGGGAGTGAGCCTAAAATGGATGTTCCTCCTACTTGAAATGACCCTTTATTTATAGTTAAAGTGAGTGCAATGAAGGAGAATTACATTTTTAAACCGGTTTAATAAGGGTTGTACATTTTATTTTGGTCATTTTACATAAGTGAGCTCATGGCTCGGTCATCTTCAACTGATTTTCGTCTGGTTTTCTAATCGTCCAGACTTGCTGTATTTTAGACTTTTGGTCGTATGGCCTTTTGGTCGTTCGAACTTCTGGTCAGTTGGACTTCAAGTCATCTGTCCTTCTCATCATCTTGTCTTTCGGTAGTTTGAACTTCTAGTCGTCTGGTCTTCTGGTCGTCCATACTTCTAGTTAACTAGAATTTTGCTCGTCTGGTTTTCTAGTCTCTTGGACTACTAGCTGTCCAAACTTCTGGCACCTGAGATTCTGGTTTTTGGGTCCTCTGGTCATCCCGACTTTTGATCATCTGAACTTTTGGTCATCCAAACTTGAGATTGTTTGGACTTCTGGCCATTCCTTTGAGAGATTCGATCTGACACATTTTATGAGTACATAAACATACTTTTTTATTGTGAAATTGAACATTATTTTACCCAATGGGGATCATAATTTGGTTACATTTAATCATCCCTCTTTTTTTTTAAACAATATCTCTACTTAAAATAAACATACACCATCATTAGGCCTAGTCTTCTAGAGATATCTAGATGTCTATCTCGTCACATCATCATTAAATTTAAGATCTTCACTTGGAATTTTCTTTTTATGTCAAACAATTGTGTAGCAAGTGGATTGCAAATCATCTGCTTCCATGCTACTATCATTGGAATATTTATTTCGGCATTTGCACTTTGTATACTCATTCTAGATCATTCATACTCTCCCTCTCATAATTAGTCATCTGAATTTGATTAACGTATGCCTGAGCTGACACTTTCTATCATTCACGCTCTAAGCTTGATCTTTTAGTAGGCCTAGATAAGCAAGTAGGTCATCAAGAAATATTCTTTTTACCGTTGGACCGTATTAGTTGTCTTTAGTCATACACTAATCTATGATATTTTGCACAATGTCTAATTAATATATTCACAGGTTAATATAAGAGCTTATTTGGAAAAAAGTTAATGCATCAAAGAAAAAGGCCCATATCCCTATTTAAGCTTAATAAAATAAATAAATATATTGTCTTTAATCTCCTCATCTTTATTGTATATTAAACTCAATTTGGAGCCACAATAAGCATCTCCAAACCATTATCTCTAAACTTCCAAAAGGAAACTGATAAGGTTAACCTTATGAAAGCTTAAATTTTTATTACTTTATAATGTCTAATGTCACCATCTATGTTATTTGAATTTTATGTTACTTCTATTTCATGTAGGTATAAAAATTTGTTATCGTTTATTCCTTTTTATGTGACTCTCACCAGTGAGTCGCAGTGTATACCAGAATAACTCGACCAAAATTTGCTCATGAAAGTAAGCTTTTCTACTCCAATGCATGATGCAATTCTTCAAGTAAGGAATGCAACCCCATACTAGTAATAAGTTGAGATGTTAATTGTAATGCCCAATAGTGCATTAATATGACAGACATGTTAAGTAGCTTTTATATTATGAGTATGAATATTATTTCAAGTAGATGTTTGCATATGTATGAGTATTTTTCTTTCTTTTGACATAGCTCATGTGTATGCTATATTTTTTTCCAAACTTTTTCATTAGACGAATGCATGATTTAAGTATGATTAACTAGTTGAGATGTTTGTATGATCATATGTATATTTTAAAACTTTTGTTAATATTAATATTTCAAAATGAAATTTGATATTTTTTAATATGATTGAGTTTTTAAATTATTATATAAATAAATAATAAAATTTAAATATTAGATATATAAATAAATAATATTTTTTGTGTTCCTACATATGTCACACTGTCCAAAAAATTGTCGTTCGCTAACTCGCAATCAGTTTTCTAAATAGCTCGTGTTCGAATCATTCGTCAAACAATTGAGTCAAACACGAACAACTTTTTTGAGCTTGATTTATAAACGAGATGAATACAGACAAACTTTCGCTCAATCGTTTTAGCATGCATTAATTTAATAATAAATAAATAATTTGTAAAATTTAAAATAGCGATATCTTTGATATGATATCAAAATTTTGATTTTTATAGATATAAAAAAGTAAAATTTAAGTGTTTGAGTAAATACATAAAAATTGGGTGGTATGCATGTAAATGCCCAAACTTTTTAAATATATAAATACATAAGAACTGGGTGGTATGCATGGAAATGACCAACGGATTTTTTGTATTTAAGTGTGAGAGATGCAAATACATAAAAATTAGGTGGTATGTACATAAATGCCTTAGACTGGTCCCTCGCCACGCCTTATCGCCTTTTGACATTTAACCATGAGATTTGACATTTAGGGCATGTTTGAGGCAGCTGCAGTTTCTCAGTTTTTCAGCTGTAGCTGCGCTGACTCAATAAACTGCTGCAGGGAGACTGATTGTTTGTTTGTTGCAGTTGTGTAAAAACAACTGTGGGACAACTATTTCTGGAAAAATGACAATTTTGCTCATGTTTAGTAAACTTGTTTAAAACAAAACCGAGACAGCCACATATTTGATATTTCATAAGCAGAAATTCATTTCAAAATAAAACAAAAGTTCAAATACACAACCCACTTAACAGTGAGAGTCAAAAGTGCTAAAGAAAAAGAAAAAAAAAACAAATAAAATTACAAGTAATAATGATATTATTTTTAATATGAAGATGATGTATGTCTCGTCCTAAGCTGTGCTCTAATGTTTGTGATTCATTTGTAAGACACTTTGATAATAAGATTCATGCTTATAGTTACTCATTAAATTGTTAAAAATGTACCGCTAAGCTTGTTGGAGTTAATATATCTAGTCATTTTACATAGTATTAATCAAGGCATACGAGTCAAATAAGCACCTCTCATTAAATAAATTATATCCTTGAATGTTATAGAACATGTCATCTTAATTATATAAAATCGAACAAATTTGTCAAAGCACAAAAAAAAAAAAAATGAGAGTAGAAATAACCATGCATAATATTAGTTTTCTTGCAATATTCATATACAATCATAGTTACACACAAATTTGCTCTACTATATAATCCCCATCATCATCATTAACATTTCCAAACTATTAGGGAGTCAACATCACAAATCTCTACTATATAATCCCCATCATCATCATTAACATTTCCAAACTATTAGGAGTCAACATCACAAATCCTCACTCTCCATTAATTTGTATTGCATATTCTTTGTGGAGCTAAATTTGATTATCAACTATTTTTCCACAAGAATGCACACCAGAGAGCTTAATAGTTTCCCCTTTATATGTCTTTTAAAAATGTGTAGGCAAAATGATTCATGAATATTAAAAAAGATTGTACAAAAGACTAGATCTGGAAATAATCACAGTGTTAAAATCATCTTTTCAAGATACCATTAAGTTCTTTGGTGTGAATATACATCTATTAGCGAGGGAGGGAGCGAGGGAGCGAGGGGGGAGAGGATACCTGAGTCGACAGTGAGGGAGAAGCGCGAGCCGGAGTCGAGCAAATGAATCAAACACGCAACAGTGGGGAGGAAGGGGACCGTGAGAGCTTCGGCGTCGAGAAGAAGAATTTCAGTTAGAGTAGGGCCGAGAGGGGTATTATAGACGAGCGTTACGAATATCTACCTCGCGAACGCAGGCCGCGAGGTTCGATTCGCCGCGCGCGTTCCTCCAAATTGGCATCCCGCCCCGAGCGGGACGCCGAACCAAACAAAAAAAATTCACATCTCGCCGCCGCGACGCAGTGCGATCGCAGTCCCAAACAGACCCTTAGTGATGGGCTCAAGATATGTAAATACATATATATTGGGGGTGGTATGTGTATGTAAGTTTCCCTTGAATTACATGACAACAATTTGATAATCCCACGTTCGTAGAAGATGCCGTCCAATAAAACATTAGTTTTCTTAATGATAGATTAATATATTAAAATCTATTTAATTCTATCATACATGCAGCACTTGATTTGGTAAAAAACAAGCTTTGAAGAACTATGACAGACTTACATTTAAAAGATCACGGCGAAGTTACCCTGACGGTTCCTGCACCGACGCATAGCTGTCAACAAAATTCGGGAATGGCGGAGGAGGCTCGCAAACCGCCGACAGGCGGGGCGGAGAACTCGCAGGGAGATGCAGGGGAGCGCGGCGTTAGTGATGTTGGAGAAGGAGGGGGAGGCGCAGGATGGGGTGGTTGGGGCTTCCCGTCCTTTTCTGTGTTGTCGGATCTACAGAAGGCTGCCTCGGCCGCAGCACATGAGATCTCCAGAAATGTGCGTTTTCCTCTAGTGATTCGCTAAATATTAGGGTTTTTAATTGGTTTTTTTCCTTGGATTGAACCGATCGGATTACGTTCTTAACTATTGTTGATGGGTTTCTTTTTTGGCATTTTATCAGGCTGCTGCAGTTGCTAAAAGCATCACAGATATAGAGATTGCTGAAGAGGATGCAAAGTTTGATGCCTCTGCTGACAAAGAGGAGTTAGTGAATGACATCGATGATGAGAAAAACCTTCTCCGCAAGTCAGCTTTGGATAAGTTGGAGAGAGCTAGTGAAGAGTCTTTGCTAGGACAGGTAAGTCACTAAAGTTGAGCCAGAATACTAGCATTATTATTATTATTTGATGTATGCTTGGAGATTCGCGGCGGCATAGTAATAAATTAGCATATTAACATTGGACAAAAATCCAACACACATATAGATAATAAAGAAGAGTAAGTAGTAGCATAGACATCCACTTTTTACTTGAAATATCTTGGGAAGGAGAAAAAATCATATGACCTAGCTTAGTTGAAATATTTCACTATGTAACAGTGAGTACATAAACTCATGCTTCTCTTGAATTAGAGAATATTAAATTATAAAGTTGATATATAGTGGTATTTCAACAACGATATTCGTAACAGGTCGCAAATACCATAATTGATTGTTATTGAGATAATAGTCCTACGTGACTGTTGTAGACAGTGGTTGTAGCTCCAACTTGTCCTAGAGGTTGTAGTTGAAAGCCATGATAGTAATTGATCATGTGGGTCATTGATAGTTATTTAAGGATCGTCAGTTGACCACAGATGATTAATAGGGAGCTACAAAAATATTTGTAGGACATAGAAGCCGAAGTTGGAGTTATGTACGCTGCAAGCCGCGTTGGCCATAGTCAGTCACATAGGCCGTAACAGAGTGTTGTAATAATGTTTGTAGGCCGCAAAGGTAGAAGATGAGACTTAGATGCATTATAATAATATTTTTAGGCCATAAATGCTGAAATTGGGAACTGAATAAGCTGTGATAATGTTTGTAGGCCAAATAAGTTAGAGTTGGGAGCTGCATGAGCTATGACAACATTCATAGGCTGTATAAGCCAGAGTTGGGAGCTGGATGAGCTGTGGACCATGTTAGCCATAATTAGTCGCGTAGAGCGTAGTGGTGAGTTGTGGTAACGTCCGTAAGTCATAAATGTCGAAGTTGTGAGCTACATGAGATATGAATTATATTGGTTGTAGTTGAGCACATAGGTTGTAATGGTGAACTGTGATAATATTCGTAGGATATAAAAGTTAGAATTGAGAGTTACACAAGTTATGGACTATGCAGATCGTAGCATATTACTCTGCAACATATGTCAAAATTCCTTAACGCACATCATGATTTTGCAAGTGAATTTGTTGCAACGAGCATAGGGCAATAGATGGCAGCCAACGAGCGATGCTTGACTGTGGTCAATTGTTGCAAGGGTGGGTGGCGTTCACTGAACCTTCGTTGTAAAACACCATACCTCAATTTCATTTCCTTCAAGCTCCGTGCTTGCTCCAGTTTAAGTTCTAGGTTCCTTTTCATGAAGGGCAAAGACTCTATTTATAAAGTATGAAAGATGTCTCTGACAGATAAAGAAGAAATCTAGGTCACTCCATCGGATGAGTCAGAGAGATTCCCTCGATCATACTGTGTTTTATGGACTTTTGAATGCCTTAGTGTTGCCAAAATTGAATTATTTTAACCTCGTTCGATTTGTCCAGTTGAGATGCTCTATTCAACTAAAGTTGTCAGATTTGAAATTCATTTGACTTTCTAACTAGGCATTAGAAGATTCCAAAAATGGCGTAACGCTCAATCTGCGTTTGATTTAATTTGAATTGGACCGACTTTAGTGTCATTGCGCTCGTCTTGTCGAGCCGGTCAGTCTTATTATAAGTTGCTAAAATCAGAGTTTTGCATGAATTTGAATTGAAGTTTGAATATTTCTTGCTAAAAAATTGCCTCTTGATTCACATCACGTCTCGGGTTCTCTATTGGATAATGAAAATTTATTGATGGCGCATTAGTTGTACTCTATGTTCTTGTGAGGCTGATTTTGAATTTTTTCCCCTTTTTAATCCTTTTTTAATATTAGTATATATCTTTACAAAGAAAGAATTTTAGCTCGATTGATAGGCGTGTCATTGACATGCGTCAATTTTAGATGATTTCACTTGCATTTTTCTCTACATTTTATATTCATTTATTAATTATAGATTTACACTTGAGAAAGTTTTTTCTTGATGTTGTGCAATTTATAGGTGTCGAGCACGTAAAATGGGATCAAAACACGTCATATAGTGCTATCTGGTGTGACCACGCCAGATCTGGGCGTGATCTCGTAAGTGAAATAACCACACTAATTTTATGGCGTGACCACACTGGGGTTGGGCATGACCACGTCGCCAGACATCCAGAACTCGTATTTTGTGGTATTTTTTGTCGTTTTTGAACCTATTGATAGATTTAGAGAAGTTGGATGCCTAATTTGGATTCCTAATGTAAACTTAACTATAAAATATATTTTTATCACAAGAAAAGGGGATATTGTCCTCTTCTTAGCTTTTGGAGGGAGAAGACAGCTTGGGCACTAAAGTTGAGGGTGTTTTTCATCTTTTTTTTTCTTTTGTATTTTCTTATATGTTTTAAGATGTTATTATATGAGAGGAGTTGACTATTGTGGAAGAGGAAACTAATTATTTTCTAATTGTTTACTTTTTCAGTTTTACTTCAGTAATGATTTTATTGGGATTTCCTGTTTTCTTTCTATATTGTGTGGCTAAATTTTCTTTTACGTCTCTGTGATTTATGGGATGTGATTTTGTGCTTTTCTCTAATAAATTTTTTCCCTATATTGTTTTCCTGAGACATCGGAGTTTTTTTATTGTTGTGTTAACCATAGAGTTTCATTTACTCATGATTTGATCAATTGAGATATTAACATATTTCATGATTTGTGAATCATACTCATTGCGCAGAGGAACAAAATATATAACCACAAAATTTAGGTAATAATCGACATTTTATTTGGGTTTTGCAACCTAGAATAAGGATTAGAACAAATTCATGGGATGTCATGGGGATTAAGGATGTCTCAACTTTATGGATTTAGCATTCTTGTGACTTAAATATATGCACAAGGGGAACTTACTTTCTCTATTGACAAAAATCACGTTAGATAAAGTTTAGGAAAATCACAAATTGTCATATTACCTGAATCGCAGTGTCTCGAATCTCACATAACTTGAAAACACAACATTTATTTGCTGTTGTTTTGCGTATTTATTTAAACACGTTTTCTTTTGCTATTGCTTTTAAGTAAGATTTTAAGAAACAATCTTTTGTTTGTGATCACGCTAAATTACGTTTAGAGGTTTAGTAAACTAGAGATACACCGATCAAAATAGTTCTTAGTTCTTTCATTGTGGGATCGATGCGCTGTATATTTGAACCGCATTACTACTTGACATATGCACTTGCATTGTATGACCAACTTACATCCCGACATGTTTTGACGTGTAAAGTTTTTGGCGCCGTTGTTGGGGAAAGACGTTAAAAAGAATATGATTTTAGGATATCTTTTGTTGAACCGCTGAAAATTTAGATTTAGCAATTTTTATTTTTATTTTTCTGTTTCTTTCATATTTGTTTACATCTGTATTATTGTTGTGTTTCTTTACACGTATTGGAAAAATTAAAAAATTAAAAAAATTATAAAGCCAGAAAACCAAAAATATTTTATTCTTTTTATTTTTATTTTGTTTTTTTTGTGTTATTTTGTTCTTGTGTTTCTTTATTTTTTGAAATTAAAAAAAATTTTCAACCCTCTGAAATGACAAATCCTCAAGAAAAATATTTTAGATTTTTTGAAGAATATAACAACTCATTGATGGCTAGTCTTCACAATCTTTACCCTTTCGACATAAGAGCGATCACCCCTTTCCCAATACATACAACCCAAATTTGACTATTTACCCAAACTCTAATTGGAATAGTAGTGATATTAGTATAAAAAACCAAGTTTAGGGCCGAACTCAAGCCAACCTTGTAGAAAATTGAAATTGGTGCAGAGGCCATATTTGTCAAACTCAACCTTGGGAAGTCATCTCAAAGCCCCAAATTAGGGAGGATAACTTGTAGTTAGAAGAATTGTTTGTAAAATTTAAGAATGAATTCAACACGTACACCCAAAGTTGTTCGACCTACTCAAATGCCAATTGAAACAATAATAGCCTTAGTGTAGATAATTAACAATGAGAGAGCACCCAAGTTAATGTTGTAGGAAGTTGAAATAACTAGGATAGTGATTACCTTAAAGTAAACGAGCATTTGAATGAATTAGCTGAACCAATTACAAATTCAAACTGCAGTATTATAAAACTTAGAAAATCAAATGAAACAGTTAGTTAGTCTAGAAACTCAAAACATGTCAGTTGTAGTGGAGAACTATAACTTCGAATATGAAAAAGTGATATCTAAAGAGCAAGCTGAGTTGAAAGATTTTGGTAAGACAATGACTGAGGAAGAATCTTCCTCTTTTTTTCATGACTCTCCCTTGCATTGCAAGGGAGATAGTTGAACATATAGTACCACCCATTGGAGTGCCTGAAGAGATGGAATTTGAAGAAAGCATTAGGTAGGAGAGTAACCTAGTGGAGCTAAACCCCGAACCTGAAAAATTTAGGGAGAACCCAACCCAAAATTTACGAGACCTTAAATTATCTTATAAGGACCCATTTCTTGCAATTATCGGTAAAATATTGATCTACAAAAACAGAGAATTAATACAAAGAATTATAGATTTAGAAAGAACCCTCAGGAATGATAATATGAACCAATCCTCTACATTCCCTCAGAATGACTGTCATTGAATCGAGAAGGAAAAGTTGCCAGAAAAACTGAAATTTAATGATTTAGTAGAAATACCAGGATCAACAAAAGATTGGGCGATTGATTGAGGATTACTACATTGGAATTTCGAAGGAAGTGTTTTTCATCATACTGAGGACGTTAAATCAAGCATTATCTTGGGAGGCAACCCAAGCGTTATATGATTTGTTAAACATATGTTTTTTCTTTCTGGATTTGCTTTGAAATTTACTTTGAAATTTCATTTGAATTAGTTTTGAGTCTTGTCTCTCCACAAAGCATTTTGCACCTGATAGTAGGGTAGGAATCGAGAGCCCTCGAATTTTTGAACTACTTTCTGATTCGTACATTTTTACATACATTGTACACTTATATTTCTGAAAATCATGTATCCATACATTTACTCCTTT